CATTATACATATATTCATATATAACCTCGTAGACGTAGATACACAAATCACTAGTGCATTATACATATATTCATATATAACCTCGTACTATTATGTAACATTTCCACTTAAATAAATACTCATATTACAACATATATATATAATATTTTAAAAAAGTAATTCAAAATAAGTATTTATAAATATTTATCTAATAACTTACTAATATTGTATGCTATCTAGGTTAATACTTTTAATCTTAATAGTACTTTGCGTAAGTATTTCATCACTTAGCAAAGTATTATATATTAGTATTTAAATGTTGACAATGTTCTGCGTAAGTATTTTATCACTGGACGAAGTATTACATATCAATATTTAAGTATTGAAATTAATCATAAGGTAGGATTTGTAACATTAAATATTGAAATACTTGAGTACTAAAAGCTGTATTTGAATCATAGAATATTTCTAAATACTGTACTTTTAATATTGAAAATAAGTAATTAATCAATGATTCTTAGTATGATATTTCTATAAGGGAATTATATCAAAGAAATCGAAGAAAATTATATCAAAGGACAAATGTATACTACCGGATACTTTGTTGGTATAATCGCAGATGTTATACTTCATGATCATAAAAGTAAGACGAGTCACATACCTTACAGAGAAAAAAAAGGTTTACTAATATATGGACAACTAAAAATATTAACTGCAGGAGCAAATTTTTTGCTTTCATAGCAAAGTTATATAGTTGTAATAGTTAAAAGATTTGCTAATATATATATTAGCAAATGTTTTAGCCATCACAACTAAATAATTTTGCTATGAAAGCAAAAAAATTTGCTCCTGCAGTCAATATTTTTAGTTGTCCATATATTAGCAAATCTTTTTTTTCCGTGTAAATAAACGCGCCACATACTATACTTTATGATCATGAAGTATTGCACTTGTGATTATATTAATAAGGTATCCGATAGAAAACATATACCCCCTTATAGAAATATCATACTAAGAATCATTGATAATTACTTATTTTCAGTATTAAAAATACTGGATAATAAGTAATTATCAATGATTCTTAGTATGATATTTCTATAAGGGTCTTTGATATAATATCCTTCGAATTTCGGCCGTTTTCTATTACACATTTCCAGTAGTAGAAATTGGGAGTGCGTGGGAAATGGGGCCTTTCACAACCTTTCTGTCTATAACAATACATAGTCACATACCTTAGACAAACGCCACCTTTATGATCATGGAGTATACCACCTGCGATTATACCAACAAGATATCCGGTAATATACATATGCCCCTTGGTATAATATTCTTCGAATATTTTTTCGAAACTTTTGTTGTTACTTTAGTTATGCTATATAATGTAATACAAAATTTATGAAAATAGAAAGAAAAGATTCTATAATATATTAAAAAAAGGTAAAATTACGCAATGATAACACAAAATTTTTTATGCTTTCATTCTCTTTTCCACTTCTTCACTCTCATTAATTAAATAAGGTAATTTGTGGCAATAGTGCGAAACACGTTTTAATTAAGGATTGTACACGCATGAAATACTTACTATGGTGTAATTCGCAGAACGGATGATGCACCGTAAATGTAGGTTGCAACAAATGATACAGTGCAACTTATTAATG